CACAGGGACGACATCGAATCGCAAGTTTCGCAGTAGAATTGGAAACCTAAAACAGGACGTGTTACTGTATCCAAGAGATCGTTAAGTATCCGGTCGTTGTGATATCCAATTACTCGAGAAAAGGAGAGAAGTGCAAAGCAAACCAAAAAAAAAAAAAAAAAAAGAAGAAGAAAAACGCGTTACAATGGAGAAAATAAACGAAATAAATTACAAGGTAGGGTGGAAAAAAAGAGACGACAAGGACGACAACGCCAACCGGTAGATCATATTTTCATTCTCGTGCTCGTGAAAATCCAGGTGCGCCACCGTGTGTACGTTTAACGAGCGTTTATCGTTGATACACGTGTAACGTAGGCCCCGCTGCAACCTTAATTGATCGAATTAGTCGTGGAATCAGCTCACATTGAAATTACACCTGATCCCGGCTTACTTCCGAACGGATCGATTTTGATGGATCGTTGGGTCCGTGCCCGATCGATCAAACTCCTTCTCGTTCAGACGAAACGGAGGTTAATCGATCATTTTTTACACGCCATCGAGTTCATTAACGGTCATTTGACGTAGGCCTGCTCCTCTTTTTCCCTTCCCCACTTTCGTCCACTACATGATCGAGCGTTTTCGTCTCTCGCGTGCTAAAAATATTCTTTAACGTTTTTCTCTCCCCTCCTTCACCGTTTCACGTACGAGTTTATTCAGTAAATGGTGTTCCAGGCAAATAACCGTGCTGCGCTCAGTCGCATTGAACGATCGAAAAAGACGAGTTTCTCAGAAATGTTTAAAAAATCGTTTCGTCGTACGCATCTAACTGGCAAAAAAGGGAAACAAAAAGGCAACAGACGAATAAATTGAACGAGAGAATGGACGAGAGTTGCATTCAAGTTGAAGATTAATTTTGGAATAATACGGCAGTAAATCATACCAAACGTCTGGAAAAAAAAGACAAGTTTCTTGAGACGTTTAAAAATTATTATCATACACATGCTGTGGTAGGTGTGGTTTGTCTGGTACAAGACAAACATTTAACGAACGAATATAGTAGCAATCAGAAGGGACAGAATGTAAACGAAGCGATATACAGATACATTGTGGTCGTTTCGGTGAATCGAAGAATAAGGAGGGGGTTAATGTCCGATATGGAAATCCTCCAAACGATGACCACAATAGCGTAACGAACTTGCAGAGTGGCATTTTGCTTTCTAACGGTAGCACGCGCCTGATGTTTTCCTTTCTCCCAGGGACCCCGTTGCACCCTGCATTAACTAATACCCTGGAAACACGCGCGTTGCGTACCAGGGGTGTAACCGACTGCTCTAATTAAAGGACATTCATATCGGATGGACTGAACCATCGAACCCTTTTCACTCGTGTTCACGGAAACTGGTCCGGATGACCAGTTCGCTTTCACACGCGAGGGCCATTTGCCATTTTGATCGCTTCAGCTTTTTACGTTAACCCATTAATCATCGCGAAACGTCAAGGTTTTGGATCGTGATACTTCGACTATTACTAACTTTGCAAGATCGGGATATATTCGAGACACTCTGAACCGAGAGCTTCTCAAATTTTTCCACTTGGCGAGCCTTCGAGCCCGAGCAGGAATTAAATCACGAAGAAAATTTATTCGACAACAATTCTTACACGTACGAACGTGTATAATTTTATCACGTATTCAAGTCGAGTATTCGTAATTGCTGATTTGTTAATTTTGCTCAAGATTTTTATTACCTCAAGTTACGTGACCCATTATTTTCTATTACCATTTTTTTCTTTTTTTCAATTAAATAAAAGACGAAGGACATTTGTACAAAGAGAGACGTAGAATGGCAGAGGAGACAAAACGAAAGTTAAGCGCGCAAAAAAGTGCACGTGTCGATGCTTGGAAAGGAAGTGGGAATTACAGGGAAAAGAAAAGAAAGAAAAAAAAAAAAAAAAA